AATAATATAATGAAATACAAATCATTTAATACAACTATTAAGTGAAATAATATAATGAAATACAAATCATTTAATACAACTATTAAGCAATATAGTCATATATAATATAATATAATCAAAAAGTAATACAGATCAATAATAACTAAAAGAAAGTATGATAAATAGAATGTAATACAATAACTGAAATGTGATATGATAACTTAAATATTATATAATAACCAAAAAGTAATACAAAATCAGAATGTTATACAATAACTTCAAGGAAGTATAATGATCAATATGTAATACAAAATAAATCAAAAGATCTAAAAAGATAAATAACTAAAGTTGTAAAAAAAGAAAATTAAAGGATTTTTAGAAAAGAAAGATCATAAAGTTTATTTAAAAATATTATTTTTTATGCAAATTTATTTTAAAAAAAAAACTTAAATAAAAATATTTTTAAAAAACTTATTAAAATAAAAAGCTGATTTTTACAAATTAACATATTCTATTCTAATAAAATAAATTTTAAAATAAAATTTTTTTAAATAAAGATATTTTAAAGTAATATTCATAGAATTTTTTAAGTAAAAGGCAAAAAAAAAATTTTAAGTTAATTAGTAGGAAAAATTAATTAAAATTAACTAAAATTGCCTATAAATTTATAGGTAATATTACATATATTATGCTATATATTAAAATTAAAAATATAATATCCAAATATTAGTAAATATTTTAATATAATATTGAACAAATAAAATAAATTTTAACTTTAAAAATTATAAAAAAAAATTATTATTTTAATAATATAAAATATTCGATATTAATAAAAAATTTTAAAAAATAATGTTTTTATAATAATATTTATAATGTATTCTAAGTAAATTTAAAAAAAAAATTTTAAGTTTATTAATAAAATTTTGTTAAAATTTAATTAAAATTGGTTAAAATTGCCTACAAATTTGTAGGTAATTTATTACAATTAAAGAAATAGACTTTTATTAAATAATTATAAAAGATCTTTAATAATTTATATACTAATTTTTTATTATACTTTATAAAAACAAATGGTAATCTATAATTCTATTAACCTTTAATAAAAATTTTAAAATTTAATTTTTAAAAAAAAACCATACATATATAAATAAACTTTTCTATAGGTATTAAATAGTAATATAAATTCAATCCTCGAAAATAAGTGATACAAATTTATTAAAAAGATACGAACTTTCCATATAAGAAAAAGACATATAACAAAGTCGCGTTATCACGTGTGCGTAAAGCAATAACTGATCAACAAGCTGCCGATGTCAGAAAGATTATTTGATATTTACTCGGAACTTTCAGGATTACAGTTACAAAAAAAAATAAAATAAAATATGATACTATTATACAAAGATTCGTGTCATTACGAAACATCATTAAATGTAAAATCTGCTGTATCATTTTATCAAACGTAAAATTTAAAACCGCAGTAAACGAATTTCCATTTATAGAAAAGTCTAAATCGCTTATCTAAAATAAGTAACTCTTTGATAATAATTTTCATGATGGAACCCGATCCTTAGGACCCGTTCTAAATTTTCTGAATTCCCGAAAAAGGTTATATTTATTTTTAAGAAATATTCCATTAATGTAAAAAAAAAAAAGCCAGTAAAATAAAAATCTTCTTTAGAACTGCAAATTTATTGGTTCTTTTAGGACCGTTTAGGACCGCTTAACATCCTTACAAAAAGACAACTGGCTAAAAGTTCTTTTTGCAAATCTACGTAAAGATTTATAAGGAAAAAGGAAAAAGGATTTAGAAAAATATTTGAATAAAGAAATATCTTGAGCAATTCTTACCAATGACCTTGGGCTAAGGTCTCTAGGGCGTACAAATATTTGGTGTCGACGCGGGTTTTTCAATTTCTCACATATAGTAAGATTTTCGAATTGAAAAACTTTTCTTCCGAACATTTCCGCGATTGAAGAATAAGCTGGCGAAGTGGATATTTTTACTTTTTTACTAACGCTCAAGGCAACAAGTTAACAAGGAATGCATTTCTTAATGTATGACTAATCAGGATAAGAAACCCCTTTAGTAATTTAAAAGACGAAGGTTTTTAAATGACAATGATTGGTTTAAGACGTTTTAAAAATTTGATCTACTATTCAAAAGTAATTGATCATAAGCCAACCACAAACTACGTTTAATGTCATGTCGGATCTATTGTAAGAACTTTAAACCGTTTGATTGAAAGTTTCGGTAGATCCATCATATTTTGAGCTTGCGCGCAGTCATCATAATGAACATCCTTGTATCGAATGACCTGATTGCAAAAGAAACTGCAACAAAAGCTAATCAAAGAACGATCATTATTCTAATAGCAAGATTTACATGTTATACCATCTTTTCTTTTAGTCGTTGATGAATGTTAAACAAAATGCAAAATTTAAGTTGCGCAGGAACTGCAAAGTACAGTACATAGTAAGTAAGAAACTTTATTATCATATGTACTTTTAAATTTTAGAAATTTTTTTTAAGAATGAATTAATTTTAACAAATGTTCACGTGATTTAAATTTTGGCAAAAAAATTATAAGGAAATCGTATATGTTTCGTTGAAAAATTTGTCATTCTATTGTGCTGGGTAATGAGAAAGCGCTAATTACCTTTTTTTTTTCTTAAAAAGGGGGCATTGTCAAGCTTCTATTAGTTCGCTATTGTTGTAGTTAATCAACGCATTGTCAATGTAATTGGTCTTTGTATTCGTGTAACTTATCGTTCTAGAAAACATTTTATATACTTGTATGCATACAGAATTGATATATTTCGGGCATGTGCATACATGGCTACAAATATTATTGTTTTTGCATCTAAAGCTGTCTCGATCACGATTGTATGAAGAAACTTTATTAATGAGGAAATGCTTGTGTAATAAAAAGTCTAGCAAAAGTAAAATAAAAATAAAATAAAAATAAAAATAGTAAAGTAAAAAATAAAAAAAAATAAAAAAAGAATAATACGGTCCCCAAAAAAATTTTATTTTTTTTTTTTTACGATTATAAAGTAATATCTGAAACGTTTAATTGTTTCTCATCATTTCTTAACTTTAAAACCATCCAACCATTCCAGGGTTTCTATACCTATCAGGTCGAAAGTTAGAAATTTCTTTTTTTCGTTCGAAAATGTTGCACCAAACAATTTGATCACATAAATTGTATAACCCATAAAATTTGAATGCTGCAGCAAATGCAGGATAATTACCATGCCTCAGTTAATAATTCTAACTCGCTTTGGCATGATGCATTCTTTTCACGGAAATTTTATAAAAAAAAGATGGATATGATTTACCTCGTTCAATAATTTTAACTCATCTTAGGACCGCAGTACTTTAACACAAGTATATATTATGTAAACCATGATTTTATAATTAGAAAGAAACTTTGAATACGAGGTAAATTAAGTGCATCAACAATAAATTGTTCGCAAATAAAGAAGTAATAATAATTTCAAGGTTTTATTTTTTCTTTTTTATGCGATGATAATTTTTTTCGGGATAGTATACCCAAAAATGTGTAAACTCGGCTATCCCCGCGAATTCCCAGTTTTCATATTTGGCTTCATTCAAATCATTTTAGCGATTAATTAACCTCTCGTTAAAAATGAATATGACTAGATAAACATATGCATGTTCCTTTGCTTAATCATCATCTATTTTTAAAAAACATAAACAGCTGATTTCGATAAAAATTTTTTCTTTGTTCGATTCAGTGTATCCAACCAACTACTTGACAAATTTTTTCGTAATCGCTCAATTTTGAAAGTCTGGCAAAGGGTTTCTCGGATAATAGGTGTTGGATGTGCACAATAATATTTTTTTTTTTTGAGTAGACTTAATATTATCGGCGATCAAACGCCGGGGGTTTTCCCAAAACGAGATTTGCTTTTTTTTTTTTTTTCTTTTTTTTTTTTTTTAAGAAAAAAAAAAAAAAAAAAAAAGTAAAATAAAATTCAATAGAAACATCAATTTTTATCCCCAGATCAATCCCAAATAATTAATTGTTGTATATTAAAATACGATCACTTGTTTACTTTTTTTTTTTTTTTTTTTTTTTTTGATGTACTTTCTTGATTGATACGAAGACTTTCGTCAAATAATTTCATGTTGATCCGGAAACACCAAATAGAGTAACCATCGAACTGGACACTCAAAAGAATCATCCCAAGTACCAAGTTTCGCACCCCGAGTAAATTACACTATTCTAATTTTGGTTAAGTGCATAAAATGAAACTGACGCGCGAATGAATTTTTTGTTTTAACAAAATTTAAAAAATTAGGTGAATCCCGATGCAACGTAAATTTTATATAAATAATGAACCTTTTGCAACATTAGCAAAGCAAATTTTTTTTTAAAATTTCCCAAAAAAAAAAAAATTTTCGAAAAACAAAATCCTTTCGTCAAATATTATATATATAATTATTTAGATTAGTAAAAAATAAAATAAAAATAAAAAATAAAACTAAAAAAAATATGGCAATTATCAGCACAATTGTCTCTTCAATAGGGATATATGATTTAGTGTTAATTTATTTAACATTATGTATAGTATACACAAGTTACTTTTATTTCAGTTATTACACACGAGAGAATCCATTACCTGGTCCAGTCCCGTTACCCATCATTGGTAATATCTTGGATAGAGGTTTTGATGATTTCGTTGATTATACGGAACGTATGCGAAAAAAGTATGGTGACATGTTTGAAATTTATTTTGGACCGAAAAGGTTCATCATGTTGAGTAAATTCGAATACATGCAAAACATGTTTGATTATTCATTGAATTCAAAATACCTGAGGCGAATTCCATACTTTTCCGGTTTGGAAGAATTAGGCATCGCGGGAAAAGGGATTGCGTTGAACCATAATGTAAATGTTTGGAAATATAATCGACACTTCATTTCGCGAGCGTTACTCACTCCAAGTTTCTCAAAATCTTCCGTCATATGGACCCAAAATCTAGTTGAGGAAATGATGGGCTTTTGGGAAGATGGATCTGATAATGATGGTTGTTTTGAAACCGACGTCGTGGAATGGTGTCATAGATTCACGACAGATTCCATAACTCATTTCACAACCGGGAAGAGAATTCATGCGATCGAAGCATATTACAATGAATTATTGGCAGCACAAAACAGGAAACCTAAAAAACCTTCAGAGAATGATTTACGTGACGCCTCGAAATTCTTTAAGAGCATAAAAACTTTAATTGTTGGAATCTATTTCTTCATAATCGTCCCTCCATGGGTTCGAAAATATTTACCAATCTTGGGTAATACATCAAAAAATCATTTAAAGAATCGTGATTGGTTGTTTGGCTTCGTTGATGAGATTATTAAACAGAGAAGGGAGGAGATTGAATGTACCCCTCGAAGTGAGCCACTTCGATTTGACATGTTGACCTCTATGATAACCGCTAATACGGATCGTGATATTTGCGAAATTAAAATGGTCGATGAAGAACACACACAACCCATGAACGACGAACTAATCCGTGGCATTTTATGGGAAACATTTGTCGGTGGAATTGATACGGTACGTTATAAACATGAAAAAAAAAAAAAATTTTAATGCGTGTATAACTTTATTAAATTAATTAATTATTTATTTGTTGGTTTAATCATTTAATAGACCGCCAACATGTTTAGTTTTGTCATTTATTACTTGGCATATCATCCCGATGTATTAAAGCGACTTCGAGTTGAGCTGGACGCATTCTTTAAAAAAATGGGCGATCGACGTCTAGATCTCGAAAGTTTATCGGATTTAGTTTACACCGATGCCATCATCAAAGAATCATTTAGGATGTTCACACCTGCACCATACACGGCACGAAATAGCACCGCCGAAGATATAGTGGCAGACCGTGTGTGGCCCGAGGGAACACAATACATCATAAATATTCATGGTGTAAATCACAACGAAATTTATTGGGATGAACCTGAAAAATTTGATCCCGACAGATATCTTAATATGAAAAAATCACCCCCACATTTAATCTTTGGAGGAGGTCGTAGAGTTTGTCCCGGCAGGAAGCTGTCATTTATCGAACTCAAGGTCATGATTGCCTTAGTTTACCATAAATTGGACATTGAATTATCGAACATGAAGAATCCTTGCAAAGCTAAATTCATACTGATAAGAAGCTTTCACGATTTAAATGTCCGAATTAAGCCTAGAAAATTTTAAGAAATACAATTTAATTTAACACAACAGACTGCAAAAGTTAATCATTTCATTTTTAAGGATTTAATATAAATCGGGTCCTTTGATTGGATGCCGTACTTTCGATGGTTACATTAATAGTTACAATCATTTTTCTATTATAACAAAAAAACACCATTTAGAAATGTCAATTTTTTATTTGTATAAAATTTCATGATTGATAAATTATCAATGACAAAATCATTTTTAGACAATAAAATTTATTATAACAAAAAAAAAACATTAAACATTATATGCATGGCTGAAACTGCACAAATCATTTTTTTTTTTGATTACGTTTCAATGGTGATAATAATATTTACTTCAAAATAATAATAAATTTGATCATCTACTTTAAAAATAACTCCGATTGGACTTATTGGCTCAAACCTTAACGTTAATGATTAATTCGATTAAAAATTTAAATCATTTTTTTTTTTGAAAGAATACAAAAAAAAAAAAAAAATTATCGCACCACAGGTTGAGATGTCAAAATATAATATTGTCGGTACTCGGTTAATAATGCAAGTTATATATATTTGTGTTCATTCATTGAATTATCGATCTTTTTATTATTCTGTCCTGCATTATTAACGATTCGATAAAGTTTGTAATTCCCGTCGTTTTCTTATTTTAAAGAAACAATTAATAATACTGTTTATTTAGCCTGCACATCATTTAAAAAGGTTCCGATGTATGAAATGGTGGAACTCACTCATAAACATTAATCTAAACATGATTAAGTTTCGGGTCAATTTTGTCAAATCCGAACATTTATGACGATCTGTATTTCATAATTTCGGGGATTGTGTCAAAATCGGGTATGTATATATTTGCGCAGTCAAAGTTCATTGATTTATTTTATGTTTGTTTAATAAAAAAAATTGCAAACCTACCTCTCTTTTTACTTTTAATGTAACCCCTCATTCTATTTGATTATCATTATTTAAAAGTCTTGAAATTCACCACTTTATGATCTGCACAATCAATTCTCAATTAACCATTGAGCTTGGCGAAATATAGAGATTTACAAATTAATCGCATCCGGATATCCCGTCATCTCATTACTGACGGGACATCTAGGTCGAAGAGGAAACCTAACGCATAAATTAATTTTCGTGCATTTTGTTTCGTGATTATTAATAGAGTAATAGGATAAAAAGTTGATATCGGCTTTTTTTTTCTGGCAGGGCGGACAAATTGTCGCTTGTGAAATAATATAATAATTCTGGAAGCAATGCCCTAAGATTAACGCTCGACAGTACAGAAATACATATCTCTGATTTACAAATCAACCTTTTTGTAGAAGGATGTTAAACAGTTACATTTCCACTTTGACAATTCGCGACGACATCATTTCAACGACACCAATTAATTTTTGCCATCTGTCGACTTTATATTTCATGACGTTCCCTTGATTATAATATGTTGGTTTTAAAACAATAGGATAAATTCATATATACTCATTGAAATGAACTCGGGCTTACGATCGTACTTTCTATATAATTTAAGTATGGATTTAAAGTAAAATAAATTTTAGATAAGACATATTCTTAGGCAATTCCGAAGAAATAAATATTATAAACAAAAAAATGATGCTTTAACGTCGAGTCGTCATGAAAATTCGACTTGACATGTAACGCACTGGATCGGATCATTTTTTTTCAATAACGGTTTCGGTGAATGTATAGTACCATTTACAATCTAGCGATTCGATCTAGATTCATAGCGATACAAATTAATGACCATGTTAAACTTTTTCTGTCGGGTTCATGTTTCATATGTTGGGATTAAAAGTACCGACTGTATATACATATAAATTAATCCATTTTAAAATTAAGACGATGAAGGAACAATAGATTGTAGTTATGATTATCTCATATATGACAATCTGTTTTTCCTTTCAAGGTACCATTGACAGTCCAAACTCTTGAAAATGAGGATTTCCAGCTAACCATTTTTTATTTCGACGAAAATAGGATCATTATAAATTTCAGTTGTACACAACCAAGAAAAGCATTAAATTCTAGATCCCATTATACATTGATTTAAAATTTTATTTATTATTAATAAATATATATAATATATTCATTTATTATCTTCAAAAATATTTCGCAAAAAAAATTCTAGAACTGAGTTCTAGATTAAAATTATTATGCTATGCGACCAAATAGATTTGTTTTGATAAATAAATTTTTTTTTTGGAAAATCCTCTGACGATTGATATAACCTTAAATCAACCACCCCTCGAGATAAAAAAAAAAATTTCTTATAAGGAGGATATGACTACGGGAAAATCAATTGTAGTTAAAGTTCTAATTAACTGTTTTTATGTAACTTTTTTAAATTGCGATTATTAGAAAATTTTACAAAACGATCGCTCTATATAGAACTCCCGAGATTCTTAATTCATAGCCTTCATATTTCGTTATGAATTCATTTACAAATATTAGTTTTCAATAAGACAAAAAATTCTGTTTATTCTGATGAAATAATGTAATCCTTTTTTTTGTAAATTAAAAAAAATATTTCTTTATAAATTAAATAAATTTACTTTGATTTTTAAATATTTTTTATACACGTACTGTTGATCGGTCAAGAATAAAAAATTGTAATTTCCCTTTTTTTACGCCAAAAATCGAGTCACGAGACATTAACATAGATAGTTATCTTACCCAGTATCGTCATAAAATTCCCCCATTTTTCATAAGTATTCCGGGGACTTGAGAATTTTTTAAAAATATTTTTTTTCACGCCCATTATGTCACCGATCACGTGGTGAAATTTTTACTTATAAATTTCTGGCGATACTGTGGTAAATTAAATAAAATAGTTAAAGCATTTGGTATATAACTAAAGATTTCTATTATTTAGGAATAATGGGAGTTATAATATTATTGTACTTTTAATTAAAAAATATGAGTATTTATCCTTGAAAAATTCATCTTTGAATTGTAATCAATTTTAAATCTTTCAAATTAATATATCAGGAAAAAAATTTTATTAATAGTCAACATTCAAAAGAAACTAACTTATCTTGATAAGTTTAAATCTTCAAATTTAATATCATTATTTGTAA